TGCTGCTGCAGCCCTGACGTTGGGGAGAGAGGCGTCGCGCGAGGCGGGGGCAAGGTCGTAGGAACAGCGCCTTGCTGCGGGAGGCCCTGGAAAGAGTGGTGGTGAGAGAGCATCATCGCGGCTTTATGCACTCTTAAAAGTGTGCGAGCGTTTGCGCGCTGTTTGCGCGTTCTGCGATGGTGAGCGGGCTCGTCACGAGGCCGCTGGGGGTAGGAGGGAGGAGAGTAAGCAGGCGTCGCGCCTGGCGGATGGCGGCCCTTGCGGGCGTCGCGGCGGGGATCGGCGCGGAACCGGTTTGCAAAACCGCTCGAGCCAAACCTGGAGGAGGGAGGAGGGAGGAGGGAGGACGGAGGACGGAGGACGGAGGACGGAGGACGGAGGGCGGAGGACGGAGGACGGAGGACGGAGGACGGAGGACGGAGGACGGAGGACGGAGGACGGAGGACGGAGCGGAGGAGGACGGAGGAGGAGGAGGAGGAGGAGGAGGGAGGAGGGAGGGGGAGGAGGAGGAGGAGGGAGGAGGGGGAGAGGGAAAGGAGAAAGGAAAGGGAAAAGGAAAAGGGAAAAAAAAAAAGGGAAAAGGGAGGACGGAGGACGGAGGACGGAGGACGGAGGAGGACGGAAGACGGAGGAGGGAGGAGGAGGAGGGAGGAGGGAGGAGGGAGGAGGGAGGAGGGAGGAGGGAGGAGGGAGGAGGGAGGAGGAGGGAGGATGGAGGAGGAGGCGAGGGAGGAGGAGGAGGGAGGAGGAGGAGGAGGAGGGAGGAGGAGGGAGGAGGAGGGAGGAGGAGGGAGGAGGAGGAGGGGAGGGAGGAGGAGGAAGGAGGAGGAGGAGGAGGAGGAGGAGGAGGAGGAGGAGGGGAGGAGGAGGGAGGGGGAGGAGGAGGGAGGAGGAGGAGGAGGAGGAGGAGGAGGAGGAGGAGGAGGAGGAGGAGGAGGAGGAGGAGGAGGAGGAGGAGGAGGAGGGGCGGAGGAGGAGGCGGAGGAGGAGGAGGAGGAGGAGGAGGAGGAGGAGGGAGGGAGGAGGAGGAGGAGGAGGAGGAGGAGAGGAGGAGGAGGAGGATGAGGAGGAGGAGGAGGAGGAGGAGGGAGGAGGAGGAGGAGGAGGAGGAGGAGGAGGAGGAGGAGGAGGAGGAGGAGGAGGGAGGAGGAGCATCTTCGGCGGTTTAGGCATGGCCCCCCTGGAGGAACGGGGCCCAACGGGACGGGGGGCCCCAAGCCGTGCAGATTCAGCCTGGGGCCCTGTCCTTCCTATCCTCGGGGCCCCATCGCTCGGGGCTCCATCTCTGGAACGCCAGCACGTGCTTTCGGGCCGACCCATCTCGCATCGATTCATCTCATCCCGTCTGCCGTCCAGCGTTCCGGGACTGCCCTGTTTTTAGCACATTGGGATTTTGTTTTGAGGACATTGTTTTTGTCTTTCGAACACTGTGTTGGGTTCCAAGGACAGTTCGTGGTAGGACTATAGGAATGCCGGGACAGCCGGTCCCTGCGCAACAACTGTCACTCTTCACACGAGATCTCTTGTTGGGGAGCCGCTTTTCGCGTCTCGGGAGCGCCCCAAAAGGATCTTCACCCTGGAACCGCTCCTTGTGGACCTGGGCCCCGAGCCCGTTCCGGCTCCGCTCCGGGCCCGAGCTCTTCCGAGTGGACTGGCCACGCGCAGAGGGGGGCAGGGGGAGGGGGGCAGGCTTCTTAGAAGTACCCCTGCTCCTCAGAGGCGGCGGGGCCTGGGGTGCAGATGCAAGAAGCCTTCCCCTCTCCCCCCCACCCCCTTATGCGCGCCGCCCAGCATATCAGGGCACGACGAAAGACGTTGGCTTCTGACTGTGCGCGCCTGCCCGACGCGAGGACGGTGCCATTCAGCATGTTGCTCGTTGGTTGTCTCAGACCACCAGACTGAACCACTTGCGCGCGCCGCCAAGTGGACCCGCATCCGCTCCCCCGTGTGCCCTCGTGGCCCCGAGAGGAGAGAGCGGCGCGAGGCGGGCAGAGCGCCGTGGGAGAGAGCGAGCGCCCCGCGGGGGGGGCGCCCGCGGCGGAGGGTGGAGCCCCGCGGCGAAGAGCGGGTCGGGGGCAGGGATGCGGGGGGGATAGGCCTAGGGGGGGGGGGTCTAAGCCCTGACCTTCCAGAGAGCTATTTTTTTAGCAAGGGATGCCCAAAAACCTAAAACACGGAACGAAGCAGCCTAAAACCAAGACGTAGAATAGCTCTGGGATAGGTTTTTAAGTCGCGTGCTATTTGTTAGCCCTCCTGGAAGGTCAGGGCAGGGGGGGGGTCTAAAGGTTTCTGGGCTTTTCCTCGCTTGGCATCGCTCGGACGTGTGCGTCTTTTTTCCTTGGCGAGGACCATCGAGGAGCATCCTTGATCACTTGGCGAAAAAAACACGCACGAAACCGAAAAAAAACACAGGGAATGGACGTCCAAGCGATGGCGAGCTCGGTTCTCGGCCGATTCCCAGCCTCGTGGTGCGCTCCAGCAGCTGCGCCTCGTCGAGGGCGTCCCGGGGGTTCCAGAATCGTCCCGAGCGGCCGCCAGGGAGCCGAGCTTTGGCCCGAAAGCCAAAGGGCAACGATAGGGGGGATAGGCATAGGGGGGATAGGCATCGACCCCAATCGCCCATGGATCGCCGAGAGAGGCCCGATAGCCCCGGCCTGCCCAGGAAGGTGCGGATTCACGATCGGGGGCCTATCGCCGATCCATCGGCGACGTACCGCCGATTCCAGGTCGATGCATCCCCCCTACAGTCAAAAACCCTAATGAGGACGTTCGACTTTGCTCAGGGTACCCTTGCGTCCTTGCTCTTGCTTGCTCTTGCGTCCTTGAGGTGTTCGTCGCCCGCCGCCCCAGAAATCCCAACTTCGGCTTCCAAGGGTCTTGCGTACTTACCGCGCGTGTCTTATTAGGGTTTTTGACTGTTTCGCCGATCCATCGGCGATGTACCGCCGATTCGCAGGTCGATGCATCCCCCTCTGTGCCAGCCCCCCCCCCTGTCGTTGCCCCTCAGTGGCACCCCACGGCGAGGCGAGGCCGCGCCCGAGCCGTTTTTTTTGTTTTTTGTTTGTGTGTTGTTTGTTGTTTTAGTGTGTGTGTGTGGTGTGTGTGTGGTGCGTGTGTGTGTGTGTGTTTGCGTTTGTGGTTGTGTTTGTGTTTGTGTTTGTGTGTTTGTGTGTGTTTCTAATATATCTACATCTATATATATAATTATATATATATGTATATATATATATATATATATATAGTGGAGGCCCCCGCCAAGAGGCACCCTGCCTGCCTCCAGGGTTTTAGGTCGGGCCTGTCTCTCCGCAGGAGGACTGTGCAAAGATAGTAGCAACAAACAGATAGTCTGGGGACCTTTTTTTTGAATGTACTGCAGCTGTTTGAATATGTTTTTGGGGGGCATTTTCATGTTTCGCCCAAAACCCGCCTGTAGGGGGACATGCCCGACCTAACTCCAGGGTGCTCTGGGTTTCTTCGGCTTCGATGGTGTTGCGATGGAAAGCGCGACGCTCCTTCACCAACAGTCCACGGACGTCCTGGGGACTCAGGGTTCCTGGCATCGCTCGGACGTGTGCATGTTTCCCCGGCGGGGATTCTTCAGGAGCATCCTGGATCACCCTGCGACAGAAAAACCACGCGCGGAACCGAACAGAAACACACAGGGAATGGACGTCCGAGCGATGGCGAGGGCTGGGCTTCTTGGGGTCGAGTTCTCTCGCGGGTCCAGCTCCTGCTGCACGTGCGCCCCGGGCCCCGGGAGAGCGGCCCCCTGGGACACCTGGATCACCCTGCGACAGAAAAAAAGACACGCACGACACCGAACAAAAACACACAGGGAATCGACGTCCGAGCGATGGCGAGGGCTGGGCTTCTTGGGGCAGAGCTCTCTCGCGGGTCCAGCTCCCGCTGCACGTGCAAGCCCGGGCCCCGAGAGAGCGGCCCCCCGGGAGGCCGCCGCCGCCCGGGCCGCGGGAGGAGGAGGAGGAGGAGTACGAGGAGGAGGAGGAGGAGGAGGAGGAGGAGGAGGAGGAGGAGGAGGAGGAGGAGTAGTACGAGGAGGAGGAGGAGGAGGAGATACGAGGAGGAGTACGAGGAGGGAGGAGGGAGGAGAGAGGAGGAGGAGGAAGGAGGAGAGGTGGAGGAGGAGGAGGAGGAGGACGACGACGAGGAGAGAGCAGCCCCTGCCGTGGGAGGCCCGGGGGCACCTCTGCGGCCCCCGAGAGCCTGGGCCTCCAAGGCGGGGCCGGAGCAGGGCGGGGTCGAAGACCCGCGCCACACCGCCGCTGCATCGGCGATATGCGGCTCGACGCGGGGGCCCGACTCCCTCCACGCCGGCGTCGCCGAGGTACCGCCGACGTCGCCGATGCAGCCGTGATGCCTCGCCGACGCATCGCAGATGCATCGCCGATGCATCGCCGATGCGGCGCGTTCCTCCGACCCCATATCTGCTCCGGCCCCGTTGAGGAGGCCTCTGAGAAGGGGGTCTGGCTGAAAGGGGTTGGTGCAACAGATTTGGGGCAACCGTGTCGCAAAGGTACGGCGGCAGAGAAGTGTAGTGCACTGCAAGTATGGTAACAAATGCGTTGCGCGCGAAAGTCCAGCAATACACGTGCGCCTGGAAATTTATCAGACACCCCAAATCAATTGCACCCCTACGTATATATATATATATATATATATATACACATACATATACATACATACATACATACATACATACATACATACATACATACATACATACATACATACATACATACATACATACATACATACATACATATGTATATATATGTATATATAGACGTGTATATATATATATATATATATATGTATATATATATATACATACATATATATATATATATATATATATATATATTGCACCAACTCTACTGCACCCCCCCTGTTCTCTGGACCCCCTTCTGGGTCAACCGGGGGGCAGGCCCGTCCTCCAGGCCTCGGGGCCCCCGCGCGGCCGCCGCCCCCCTTCCCCGCAGGACGACATCGCTGGCGAGGTCCCGCTGCTGTACGCCATCCGGGAGACGGGCGAGGCCCCTCCGACCCCGCTCGGAGGAGGGCCCAGTCCAGACTGACGTCGGGCCTGTCCCCTCTACAGGGGGATTTTCGACGAAAAACATAAAAAATACCCCCAAAATAGTTAAAACATAGTCCAAAAATAGTCTGGGGACTATTTGTGGAGTATTTGTTTGACCTTTTCGGGTTTTTTGGGGGGCTTTTTTAAAAAATATTTTTTTCGCTTAAAATCCCCCTGTAGGGGGACGCCAAACATAGCCAAGTCCAGACTGAAGTCGGGCCTGTCCCTCTACAGGGTGGAAATTCAAAACTACTCCGAACATCGGATGGGGACGATTCTTACAGCATGTTTGACCATTTTGGAGGTATGTTTGATATTATTGTTGGTGTTTCACACAAGATCCCCCTGTAGGGGGACAGGTCCGACCTAGGTCCAGAAGGAGTAATCAGGGGAGGATAAGCCACGCCGACCCCGACAACTGGCGGTTACTGAACGGCCCTTGGACCAGCCTGCCGCGTTAGGTTCCTTCCTTGGGTGCGTTCACCAGTTGCACGGGTCCGCGTGTCTCAGAACCTTTCTGGCCAGGACTGTCCTGTCTCAGTGCATCGGGTGTGGACTCTAAGAGCATGTCGTGGTAGGCGTTCAGAAGGACGCCTACCACGGAATGACGCTGCCGGCGGCCCATCGCCGATGCGTCGGCGATGCATCGCCGATTCCGGGTTCCCCCCTCCCCGAGCCGGCCCCCTTGACGCTCCCCCCTCCACAGCAGTCCGCGTCGCTCAGGCCTCGCTGGTTCTCTTCTCAGAACATCTTGGGGAATGCCGGGTCGGTCGGTCCCTGCTCCAACCATGTTACGACATCGTGCAAAACCACGCCCGGAGCCCTAGAGAACCCGTCGTTCTGCCCCTGTTTTCGAGCCGGAGCGATCTCTGAGGGGCCCGGGGCCCGAAAACAAAAAAGCGAAGACGCCCGGCTCGACAAAAATCGAGGCGCCAGGATCTCACGGAAGGTGCATGCGGAGGGCTTGGTCTCCGCGTGGGCTCTTTCCGTCTGCCTGCCGCCCCCACTCGGCCCCGGCCTCGCTCCGGTCGGCCACGCCCCCGTTGGCTTTGGAGTCCCAAAACGGTGCGGTGACAGACCGTGCGGTGACCTCGAAATCCCCCAAGACCTCACCGCACGGTCCGCCACCGCACGGTTTGGGGACCCTGGAGGCCCCTAGCGCCCGAGACGTCCTCGGAGAGGGACTCGAGTCCCCAAAACCGTGCGGTGACCCCGAATCCCCACCGACTCACCGCACGGTGTGGTCACCACACCGTTTGGGGGACTCCGGTTGGCACTCCCCGCGCACCCTGGGCGTCGGCCCCTGTCTCGGCGGCCGCAGAGGGCGAGGGCGCCCTCGCGGGCGCGAGATTTTTCGCGCTTCGCGCTTCTGCGGGCAATACTTCTGTCCATGTTCACTACGATATGGAGTTTCGGGTTCCCTTCCCCAGAAACCAGAGGCGCGCTGGATATGGATACATTTGCCCCCTAGAGGCTCGATTTTTATCCACATCCAGTGCGCCTCGGCCTTGTGACGCTGCTTCCCAAAAAATCCAAGACGCACTGGATATGGATACGAACCTTGCCCGCAGCTTCGGCTCCGTCCCAGGCATGATCGCGTCGTGACAAAATCCGGACGGGGGGGGTTGGGCAAATGTCGGCCTCGAGGGGCCCTACGCCGCGCCTCGGGAGCGCCAAAAAGCGATTCAAGATGAAGAGCCTGTCCCTTGGTATCGCTCGGACGTGTGCATCTTTTCTCGGCGGGGCTTATTAAGGAGCATCCTGGATCATCCTTCGAAAAAACCACGCGCGAAACCGACAAAAGTACAGGGAATGGACGTCCGAGCGATGGCGAGGTCCCGGGGAAAGGGTGGGGACTTCAGGGACCCCGTATTGAAAACATCAGGACGTCGCGTGTCTGGGGATTCCTCCTCATCCTCCTCTTCTCCCCGGGGAGGCGACGCCAGAGCGCGAAGTGCTTCGCTCTTCGCGCTTCGGCTCCGATTCCTCCTCGCCCTCCTCTTCTCCTCAGGGGTGTGGCACGAGAGCGCGAAGTTCTTCGCGCTCTCGCAGCGCGGAGCGCGAAGTTGGACGCCCTTGCAAAGGGTGTGGTCACGCCGGGGTGTGGTCTGCGATCTGCGTCGGAGGACTCAAGGGACGGGGTCAATGCAAACATGGGTCAGCCAGGGCTGCATTGGCCCGTTCTTGCGCGCAGGATCCTGCAGAGCCTGACTGGCCCGGGTCTGCATCGACCAGGGTCAGCGGAAGCCCGATGCGTTGGAGGGCGCCAAAGATCGTTATCGTTTTCTAGCCTCAAGCGTCTACGGACGCGTTGGACGTCGTTACGTACATAGACATCCTCAGGATGGGTACGTCTATAGACAACGCGGCCGTTGCGTTCGACGCAGTACAAGGTCGAGAAC